CTAGGTGCCTTTCAACAGATGAATGGATGAAGAAAATGTCTCTCTCTGACATTTCCTCTGCTGTGCTGTTAATAGAGACTGTTCTTGAAACATTTTGGGTTGTTTGGGATTGTTTGTTCCCTTTTTTATATTTTTTGTGTGTCTCCCCATTTATCAGTATGGATCTGAAGTGGCAGAGTTTTCTACCCCATGAATTTACAGTGTCTCTCTAGGTTTTCAGTACCTCACAGATTAGGGGGAGGAAAATAATGTCAACAACCTATGCAAACAACATACAGCATTAAACTAAATACTTAGTTTCTACTGTGACTTCTACAATGTTAATTAGCACCAGAAACAAATAGTATGGTTAGCAGTTGCCACCAGGAAGAACAGCAAGTTATGTATTATGTCTGGCATAAAAACCAAAGAAAAAGTGTCATCTATGACTTCCGTAGCATTAATAATTGCTACATCATTAGTGATGGGGGCAGGCATTATATGAACCAATTAGTGCTAAAAGATGTTAAGAATAGAGTTCAGTGCAAGGGAAGAATTTTAGGTAGGTATAAAAGAATTTGAAGTTTCAAAAGGTGAACAGGGAAAATGCAAAAGAGATATAGGATGTGATGGTTATGAGGGAGGAGGAGAGAAAATAGAAGTAAAACCTTAAAGGAAAAGTGAAAGAGCATGATCAAATTTGGCCATTTGCAAGAGCAGTAGAAACAAGGGAAACAGACAAGTGAAAAATAATACAAAATGAAACCAAAATATACTAATCAAAACCCCTAACCCTCAAAAGACAGAGCAAGGAAAATAGCTACCTTCAAGAAATGATAGATATGAGAAAAAAGAAACATGTATAAATGCCTATGAACCATTCAGCATACATACCAGAGAGAGTGAGAGTGAGAGTGAGAGTGAGAGAGAGAGAGAGAGAGAGAGAGAGAGAGAGAGAGAGAGAGAGAGAGAAAGATTGATTCTTGGTGAAATAATAAGGAATTGTTTCCATTGTGTGGTCAAAATCCTCTCTGAGAATATATGTTCACTATCTGTGTCAAATGACTTTTTTTCCCATTTCTTTTTGAGGTATGTACTGAGCACAAGAGTAGTGGCATGGGCTGTCAAGTCCTTTCTTTTTTGTATTGCTCACCACGTTGCCAGTTGGAGTTCATAAATTCTCAGCTTCCCTTCTGGGCAGTATGAGGTAGAGTGGGCTGGGAAGTACTGTCAGCTTCATCCCAGGGTGGAGTCGCTGCAGAGTTTTGTGAGAGGAGTTTCTATAGATGTTGTTTCCGAAGATGTTGTTTAGGGTCTAGTCAGGCCCCAGGATCTTCACTGAGTGGTGACTGGCCTGGAGATACTAAATCATGGTGCCTCCAGGGCCCAGCAGCTGCAATCTGTGTTGAGAGACTAAACCCAAGAGTCTCCCCAAGATTCCACTTGTGAGTGGGCAGCTGCTTTTTCAAGGATCCAGCCTTTCCTGGCTTTCCAAGCTTAGTCCTGGAGTACAGTCACATCCTTCACACCCACCCCACCCCAGCTGGTCCTCAAGCCAGCGAGACTTCAGAGGTGGGAATCTACACCAACCTATTGTGTAGTCAGCCTCTGGATCAGTCAGACACTGTTTTTAATCTCAGATTTCTCCACACCTAGATAAGCTATGGCACTGCCTGAAATGCTACTTCCTCTAGTCCCCCTCCCCTGCTTTGCCCATGGTGGGTTGGCTCTGGCAACTGGCAACGGTGGGGGCCTTTCTTCTTTATTTTATTGTATCCAACCATCTGAATCCCCAAGCTGCTCTGAGTGTCTGGTATCAAATCCCAGTGAACTCCCTCATTCAACCACCTCACTGAGAGGCTACATATCTGCTTCTTTGGTCTCACACCGTGGAGCAGCTTGGAAAGCAAACCTCCTTTACTCTGCCATCTTCCCTCCTCTCTGAGCAGAGGTTCTTAAACTTGAACTGCCTAAAAAGCAGTTTTTATAGGCAACAGAATGATCAGTTTGGTGACATGTTGAATCCCAATGCATTTATATTTGGGAAATCACCTGCACTTAAAAAATAATGCACAGTATAGGGTATTTTTTCCATTAGTTCTTGCATCATCTATCAGGAAAACTAACACGAAAAATTGTCATACTTAAAGATACATTTCTCATCAATGAAGAAATATGGAAAATATCTTTGTAGGAGCCATACTCTTTGTTTCTTGAGTTCAGTTTATTGGAAAATTGGTGACATAGATGTGCTCTCTTTCTGTGGTTGGGTAAAACTAAAATTGTAATTGAGACTTTCTTGAAAATTGCCCTTGTTAATAATAACTTCATCTCTTGTAGTTAGTTACATAACAGACTTGTTAACTCTGCAACCAGACTGATTTGGTCTGTTTATTCTATAGGTTGGTCCTTTCCTTGACGTAGCAGAGTAATTCATCAGTACATTCTTCAAGGAGGGTAGAGGTTAAGCAGCCACTTTGACAGAAAGTCTTATTGAGATGTTTTACATTTTTATATTTTGTCTCCATTCTACTTGCTTAATTTTTCCAGGTCATCTCAAGTAATGCTAGGTACCTGGTACTACTTGCTGAAGTGTAACAGGGTCATGTAGTTGAAATGGGAAGTTTGCCTTTTAATCTCAGTGACTATCAGAATGCAGAGAATTCTCCTTCAAGGAAAACTTCCAAGTGCCTTTGGAATTTAAATTTCAAGTGGCCTCAAAGTGAATGAAGCTTCTTTGTTTCTTTCTTCTTAATATGTTCAGGGTAAGGTTTTTGAAGGTATGAAGACAATTGTTTACTTTGTCTTAGGAGAGAAAAAAAGGTTGATATCGAAAGCTTTGTTAAAAGGATTTTTCACTGCCTGTGTTAGCTGTCTCTTCTATTATCAGAAAAAGGCAGGTCCCAGACATCACCAGTAAGGTCACAGAAAGTCTCTCAGAAAGATGTGAAGAGGAAATCCTCCAATTAGAAAAGGAATATAAAGTGTTAGAATTCAAGTTGAGAAATCTAAGTTGAAAAAAAAATTACAATTAGAAATTTAAGTAATCCCCCCCTTTAAAGATCCAGTTGGTTAAATACACTCAATTGCTGTGGCCCATTATAGTGCGAAAGTAGCCATATGCAAATGAATAAGCACTTAATAAATAAAATAGGCATATAAACAAAACTATGAACACTGAAATTCAAATTTATATAATTTTTATATTAAAGGTTTCATTTGATTTTTTTTTTTTTTTTGGTGGGCCATTTAAAATGTGAAAACCTTCCTTAACTTGTGAGCCCTACAAAAACAAGTGGGAGGCAATATATGGCCCATGGATCATTTTTTCCAACCCGTGTGGAAAAGGAATGAAACTTTTGAACTTTGGTTTGCATTTTTTCAGGATATAATGATATTTCAATGCCTTGAGAAATTGATTCTTCTTTTGTGCTGTAAACATTTTAATTGGTTGTGTCATGCATTTTACAAGCTTGAGCTTTTCACAACTGTTTCCAAGAGGAGAACTTACACGTAAGAGAGTATAATTCTGTCAACTGATCTAAGTTAGTGATAATTCTGTTTTACTATACTCCTTGTGTTAGGATACTTTTGGAACTCTTCAGTTCAGTAATCATGTCAATAACTAAATTTAAGGCGTCATAAGTTACAGCTTATTTATGATTGTGGTTTATTCTGTCTTCTTACATGTTGTGTTTTACAAATTTGAACTCTTAAGAGATCCCAGCACTTGGGAAATAGTTTGAACTCTGTTTTCAGAATTGACCTACTGGAGCACATCTATTAATAGACTCGGTCCTATGTTTGACTTTATAGATTTTTCTGAGGCTTAATGAGATCTGACCACAGGGTGGCATGTTTCTCTTACAAACTTCATTGTTAAAATGGGAAGGAAAGGGGTTTTAATTAATGAAAAGTCTTTCCTCTAATTTTGGTGTTTAAATGACTGGGTTTTCTCTAAATTTTTTTTCCCCCCCTGTAGTTCATTATGAAGATTTGCATAATATTAAATTACAGTGCCTTAAATCTTGATGCTTTAAAATCTCCTTACCTTGTGGTTATAACACAAATTATGTAATGTTTATAATTGAGAGAATAGTGATTAGAACTGTTTTTCATAGAATATATTGGATTTAGCCATTGACCCCAGGTTTAAAAATCAGTCTATAAAAACTGCTAAAAGAATATAACGAAAGGACGAAAGTATCTTGCCTTTTAGTTGTGAAGGCATGGGCAAAGTTATTGGCATAAGATTTTTATCTGATTACAGAGTCTTCATGTAGGGATGAGTGAAAAAGAGCTTGGATGCCAGATGGTCAGGAGACACAAAATAGTTAGAAAAGTGACCTTTCATTCTGTTAGATTAAAGTGAGAGCTGAATGTCTTCCAAAAATTTTCGTACATGAGCTATAATGAGAGAAGGATCATCTCTGTGTAGTTTTTAAGGGAAGTGAGTTTAGTGGAGCTAATTAAAGTCTTTGTAGGTGGGACTTCAGTGCAGATTTACCTGGAGTCTAGGCACATGCTCTTTGTATGCAAGTATTTCCAGTTGGGTTCATTCTTTGTTGGAGAATGGGTGGACCTGGTGATGATTCTTGAGGTGTAGAGTTTAGAGAATTATTGCTGAAACTAGAAAATGGGCCAAAAGTATTCTGTGAGAGTATAACTATTTAATATACCACTCCATCTTCTTTGTCTAATTTTTTTCATCTCATTTCGAACCTACATACCAAGTAAATACACTGTTAATAATTTACATGTTTATCTAATCACCTCCACCAAAATGTAAGCTCCAAGAGGTTAGAGATCTTATTTTCAGGCTCATTTTGTATTCCAATGCCTAAATATTGCCTGGCAGGTAAGTGCTTAGTATGTGTTTGTTGTTATAACCTACCAGAATGGGGTATAGTTTCAGAGTTGAGATGATATATGTAATTTTCCTTAACTACAATATTTTATGAAGATAGCCTTCCAAGAGGAGCTTTGCTAATGCAAATTTGCTATATCTTTTCCTTTCCTAGGGTGATTGTGTTGTTACAGTACTGCTTGCTGAAGAGGACAAAGTTGAAGATGATGTAGTTTTTTACGTGGTATTTTCGGGTTCTACCCTCCATCACTGTACAAGTACCCGGAAGGTCAGTTCTGATACTTTGGAGACCATTGCCCCTGGTAAGTATTTGGGATCTTTTTTAGCCTATACTAGTTCTTGAATACTTTTGTTCTATGTTCTTTACTATAGAGTAATATGAAGAGTGAACCAGAGTGATTCACATTTTTAAATACATAGGTGCTCTATTTTGTTAATCTTGTTTGTTCCAAAGAAGTGTGAACCTAATTAGAAATAAATGAAATAAAGTGTTATTATTTGAAAAATAAAAATTAGGATCAGCAAAAATATTAATTTATTGTAATGTTGAAATTTTGGAAATACTAAAACGTGGTAGAAGATATGAATTCTCATATGGGCATACAGATTTTATTCTGAATTTCATGGTGGTAAAACTAAAAAATAAAACATAAGCAGTTATGCATTTCTCATATCTAGGATGAAAAAACCTGCAAAACTTTTTATGAAGCCAAATTTGCCCCAAATTCATAAGTTATGGTTCATTGTGGAATAAAAGCCTAATCACTATTGTATTTTTAAATTTAACAGAATTAAAAGATGTTTACTTAATAAAAATTTTTATGAAGTTATGAGGACAATGCTACTTCTAACAGAAACGGGTGATCCGGTAATGCTTATCTCTTGGCCTGTTCTAGCCTTTGCAGATATATTGATTTGTATTTGGAGATGAGCTTCTATCCTCAGTTGACCTTGCTTTAAAGTTAACAATTAACCAGTTTTCATCAGAATTCAGAAGAGTGTATAGTTAGAGGGAACCTCTAAAAATGCCAACAGCTTAATTATTACCATCTAGGGAATGATTAGACTGTCATCCTTTTTTATGAGTTCCCCTTTGTTGGTGTAGGTGTTGTAAGGTTAATTTGTTTGTGAAGCACTTCAGATGTCTGTTTTTTGCCAGTATTGGATCAGGTTGCCCATTTTTCATTCCAGTGACATTTCATATAAATTATCTTTATGTCTGATACCTACCAAATTCTGAAAATTATGCCACAATTAAGAACTAAGATTATGACTACTGAAAGTTTTATTTACCTTCTTGCATTGCAAAAATTATTTTGAAAAATATGGGATATAAGATTTGAGACAGGAAGATTTCTCCCAAACTGTTAGGGATAAGAAATAAAATAGAGTGGTCAGCATAGATACTGATTCCCTGCCCCCCAGGAGTATTAGTATCTTTTATAATTTAGACTGCCAGTCATCTTGTTTGCTACGATGTGCATTATATTGGAAAAGGTATATCTGGAACTTGAGGTCTTCTGTCTAGCAGGTACCATTCATTACCATTGCTAAAAATGTATTATATGTTGGTGATAGGGAGAAACAGTTCCTTAACTAGGTAGAATCAGTTTCTTAACTGGGTAGAATCAGTCTGTGACTGGGCTCTTTGAAAGGAATGGAGGTAATTTTTATTAACTAATTCTTTCTGAATTAGAAAAACTTTAAAGTTGAAGGTGTGTGTCTTTATATGTATATATGTGTACATATGTACCTAGAAAGGAACATCTTAATTAGATAGTAGAATAGTATGAGTAGTTAGAAAGGGCAAGTAGGACAGGGATATAATCCTGGGTTTTAGCCATGACAATAATAAACCCCAGCAGAGTCCAGTACTTTGATGGAGAGGGATGTGCCTGGAATCTTCCTTAGAAGGGCCTTTAAATTAGGAAGGTGGCAGGCGATTACTTTTCTTGGAAACATAAACCAACTGAACTTATAATGACAGCTGGGGTTCTAAATTTATTCTAGATCCTTGTAACATTTTTTTCCAGGATAACTTTCTGAACTTTAGTTTCCATTTCTTCCCTTGACTTTGGTTCTGATACCTCTTTATATGTCTCAGTACCCCCTTTTCCAAGCCACACCCCTCTTGAGTGTCCATTTGTACCTGCTGACTATGGGTGCCCTGCACTGCCATCGAAAGCCAATCAAAATGAATATTGTGTACTCTACTCTGCAGAATAGAGTTTTTGTCTGAATCGGCAGAAATTATTCCTGACCCATTCACTTCTTCAGGCCTGTAGTAATGCCATCTCTTTCATTTTCTACTAATCAGCTTTCTTCTTATCCCCTTCCCACATTCTCTATCATGCTTGCCAGCCATGCCCCCATTCCCCTGAATATTCTGCTACCTACCCACATTCAGTCAGGTAGCTTAATCACAACAGATGTGAAGAAAAGATTAGAGTTCTTGAAGACTCTACTTGTGGAAAGCCAGGGAACATCAAAGTAACTCTTTAGCATGTGAGCCTCTGATTAATATTTGATATTTGATTTGTAAGGATATCAGCGAGACCCCTAGTTGGTGCACTAGAAGCCAACTATTTAAACAAAGGAGATTGCCAACTGGATCTTTCTGCTCTAGTCATCATGTATAAGAGTTTTGTGTTTTCTTTTCAGCTACTGACATTTGGATTAATTTGGTAATTTGTTGTGAAAGGATAGAGATAAGTGCGTTTTTGGGGTTAACTTAGTTTTCCCTCCCTTTTGTCACTTTGCTTCTTCCCACTTGTTTGTTTTTCCTTTTCTTTCTTTCTTTTTCTGGGGATTGAACCCAGGAGCTCATACCCAGCCCTTTTTATTTTGAGACAGGGTCTAAGTTACCCTTCTAGGCTTGCAGGCCTCCTGCATCAACTTCTGAGTAGCTGGGATTACAGGTGTGCATCACCATGGATGGCTTCAGTTTTTAAATTCTTGTTTAATCATGGAATTAATTTTTCAGGCTAGAATTAAACTGCCTTAAATCTGCTTTTGTACTTCTTAAACTTGTGCCTTCCCTTGCTCCAGGGTTCTTGCTCATCATGTCTCATTGAGGCTTCTTGTCTACCTTATAACAATATACAACTGCCTCCTCTCAGAATTCCATGTTCCCCTTTCCTGCTTTATGTTTTTTCATTGTACTTATCAACTTCTAACACATAATATATTTAGCTTATTTATTTTATTTTCTGCCTGCTTCTACTAAGGTTTGGTTAGGTTTATGAGGGGAATAATTTTCTTTCTTTCAGTGGTACGCGCTAAGAAGGCTTCTTCTAGGAATTCCTGCCGCTTGATGGGATAGCGTTTCTGCTGTGTTGTAATCATTCTAGTTCTCAGAAGCTGATCCTTTGGAAAGGTGAATGTACATATATATATTCCCCTTCTCCCTAATTTTGGGGAGAGGGGCAGAAATGTTTCTTAAATTAAACACTTAGCTTGGAGCAGAAGTCTGTGTCCTCTTTCTGAAGCTAACTGATAATTTCTTTGCATCAGTTAAGCTGTATTGATAGCCTCAGGTTCCCTGTATACTGAGGGCAGTGGCAGTGTCAGATTAATCAAGATTCTTCATGGAAAGTCTACACAATAGTTTGTGCATTCTAGTTACTGGATAAATGTACGATGTCTTTTTGCTGCAGCTGCTTCTAATCAGGATGTCTCTCTCTATCCTTCTGCAAGGATAAGACTTGCGATTCCTAATTATTTGGGCTGATTGTGTATGAAAAGAAAAAGAGCTTTGTGCCTTATTCTTGCTTTTTTACGTCATGCTTCATCCACATTGCTGGCTCTAATTTTTTAGTTCTCTGGTATGTTTTACTGTAAGTGTTTTGAAATGTTTTAGTTTCTAAAACCCGGTGATTGATTGACCTTCAAAAGACAGCTACTTCTTGATGTCATCTGTAAACTTTTATCAAATATTGTCTGAAAATAGGTTGAAATACTAGACATTCTAAGTTTTCTTCTAAAACAAAACTTTGACTCCAGATATTACAATTACATCCCCAATGTATGTTTTCTAACGTTTTTTATGTTTTCTAATAAGAACTGTCCATTTGAATAGAGACTGTAGAGAAGTGGTAAAGGGTTTTTTTTTTTTGTAATTTTTATTTTTTTTTGTAGTTGTAGATGGACATTCAGAATGCCTTTATTTTGTTTATTTTTATGTGGTGCTAAGGATCAAGCCCAGTGCCTCAAACATGCTAGGCAGACACTCTGCCACTGAGCTACAGCCCCAACCCCGGTAAAAGCATTTTTAAAGTAACCCTTTCTTGCTTGCCTACCATAGATGGCTCTAGATGTGATTCAGTCCCCGCCCCCCACAAAAAGTATGGTAAGAGTAGTAACATATTTAGGGACAGGTGAGTAGAGACTTTGACTTCCTACTTTTTTTTGCCTTTGAATTGTTTGAATTGAAGCATACTACTTATATAATATATAGTGATTTTTAATAAATTTTGAACACTGAAAAGAATACTTTCTTTTTTTTTGAAAATAAATGCTTCATTGCATTAATTAACACTAGACACAGACCAAATTTTATAATAAAATATTATACCCAAAATACTTGTGAGATGGCTGGTTCAAGAATATAATTTGCTATGAAATACAGCTTAAAATGGAAAAACATTTCTAATAATAAAAGACGTTAATTTTGTAATTAAAGAAAACATAAAACACCCGTTATTGTCTCCGCATAGTAAACAGATCCAACCTTAAATCACACTTTATTTAATTAATGATTTTCCTCTCAAGATGAAGCTAAGGTAGTTTTTTTGAAGCCAGTATAGGATTGGTAAATAGTGTAAAGAAATCTGAGTATCCTTAGAAGGTAATTCTTAGGGGGAATATAGAGTACTATTCTATTATATTCACTTTTATCCATGAAACTGAATTTAGACAAAGCATTGATTTCGGAATGCAAAATGGAGCAGGATGTTTAGTTGATTCTCCACACTTTTTTGTCAAACATGCTGGTATAGAATGTTTTATAAAATGAAATATTTTTTCACCTTGTCAATTACTTTTAGAATTCATAGCAAGCATTCTTGTTTGACAGGAAAACTTCAAACCTTCATTGACCCCAAAATTAGACTCAGCACTTCCGTATTTTTCTTTCTCTTTCAAAAGGGAAAGTACTATACAAAGAAATTTGTCATGAAAAGGAAAACCAAAAACATTTATCACAATCAGAAGTCTTCTGGATTTAATGAAAAATTGCAGCCCAGATCTCAACAACTGGACCTATAGTTACAGCATGATGTGTCTTTTATTTCATGTGAACCAA